TCTCGCTGTATCTCTCTCTGTCAAATAAATAAATAAAATCTTAAAAAAAAAAAAAAAGACACAAGAGAGACACACACGCTGTTTGGTGACCTGAGATTCCCACAGGGGGCAAACAGAACCAAAGGCAACGGGCTACGGCATTTCTGTGCAAAGATGAGTCGTGCCACTGGTACTTTCTTGGCAGAGCTCTGCTTTGTGCCCTTGCTGAGAGGGGCCTTCAGGATGGCAGACTCGGGCTAGCGTGGGGCCTGGGACTCAGCCCACACAGGCATCATGGCTTCTGCCCTGTCCCCACACCTGGCCTCAGCCCCACATGTTGGATGGCAGGGATTCCATTTAAAAGTCAAAGCGAACTGTGTTTGGAAATAGTTTTGGGATTTTTTAGGACACCTGGTGTGAACGTGGATGCCCCAAACCAAGATGACTGGTTAATATTTGCTTTATAAATTCCCTCAGCCTGCAGGAAGGTTTTCAAGGGTAGATGTGATGGAGCTTTTGGTTCAAATGAAGGGGCGCAGGTCCTACTGCAGGCTCAGGCTCATTTCCTCCCACGGCTGAAACACGCGTATGGGTTTATCGTGGTGGCTATCAGGAGGAATACAAAAGCTGTGGGTCTCATCCTATTTCCGAGCACAGTTGCTTGGGTGTGAAAACACTGTTTCAGACCAGAGTGCAAAGTGGAACCCCCAGGTCCCGGCCCCACGGCCCGTGGTGAGGAAGAAGGAGCCCCAGCAGGCAGCCAGCCCCGCAGCAAATGCAGGGCTCATCCACACGGTGCAACGAGCCGAGACGGGGCTGCAGACATGGTCACCACGCTGCTAACTGAGAAGTTAGTTTAACCCCGTTCCATTTCTCCAGATGCTGAGCCGCGCTGCCTAGGAGGCAGGGAGCAGAGAGCTGTCTCAACTGCCTGAGCAATCCACCCACTTCCAGCAGCCCGGCACACACAGAGGGCAGACATCAGCAAACACCACAGGCAAGTGTCCCTGTGATGACCATGCAGGATGCGTGGGGTGCCGGGCCCCAGCTCTAGCGTGCTGGTCCCTCCCAGACCCACAGAGACAGAAAGCGTTTGCTCTAAGCACCTGGGCTCTCTCGGGCGCCTTGGCTTGCTTTCCTATTTCAGACTTCACGGTGCGGGCCCCGGGCTTGTCTTCCTGGTTTGGGGGCTGGTCCGAGGTCCCTCGTCGCTTCTGCCGAGCGATGGTGATCCAGGGTGGTGCAGGCCGGCCCTCGGCTGCAGGAGGGGGACCCTTCTCTGTGGGTAAAGACACAAGGTTATGCAAAACCTCCCAGCCCCTGTCCAGTCTCACCTTGGGCTTCTCCCACACAAAGAACACCGCACAGAGGGGCAGGAGGCCGGGGTGGGTGAGGGAGGAGGAAAGAGGGCCTGGGAGCCTTTCTGGCAAGACTATTACTTTTCTTTAGGGGACTTGGTTTTCTCATTTAAAGATGCATCAAAGAGAAGCTGCTCCTCTAGTCTGAGCCACAAAATATTAAATGCAGCTGTTCCTATCTGCACATTTTAAAGCCACCTTCCTCCCACAGAATACTTTCTGGAATGAGATAAAAGTAAGCACATAAATAGGTAAGATTTCTTTAATATAAGCCTGTCATTTTGGGCTAGTACATACTACGTGATTCCTGATTTGCTTGGAAGTTTTGTAGACACACTGTTATTCTTTTTTTAAAAAAACTTGTAAGCATAACCTTCCTTTTGCAAGAGTGACACCAAAACTAGCCACAGTTGTTTTCCTTAATGTTCTAGACAGAAGAGAAATAGTGCCTTCAAAACCACAAGGTTTTGTTGAATTTTCTTCTGTGTCCACAATGCTTATCTTTGGAAGGGAGCACCGTGGGTTGCTGTCCCTCTTTTCAACTCCTCTGTATTTTCGTATTTTCTATGATGAAAATTTATTACCTTCAGCCACAGAAGAAAGCAGCAAGCCTACTTTCTTCAAGGAAACCTATGGCTTAGTGGCTTCTCACAGGTATGTCAAAAGTACGCTGAATGCGAAGGTTCTCCACGAGCCCACCTCTCTGAACGTCTGCCTGCCACCACACACAACACAGACGCAAGTGCCTCCCCATACGCCTGGCCCCTGGCCCCTTCCCACTTTCCCTTTGACATCCCAGTCAGCGAGGGGAGGCAGGGTCCATGTCCCGCAACGCATGCAGATGTCTGGGATGAGTTAGTGTCGTTGCTCTTGGTGACCTGGCATACACCACCCCTTGCTCGGCTGTGATAAGACGTTCTTGTGGTGAGACTCTCTGTTCTTGTTCCTGCCTCCGGTTCAGCCTGCAGTCTTTTTCTCTCCATCCCCGGGTCACCAAGGAGGGGCAGGGGACAGAAGCCATGGCTCCGCAAGCTTCAGTCTCATGTCAGAGCTGGGAAGGGCCTCTGGCTTCGCACACTGACCTCTCCCTGGCCTGGACAGCTGGGAATGGCTCCCGCTCTCCCGGATGCTCCCTGAGACCTCCACCCTGCTGGTCCCCAGGGAACCCCGCTCCATCTCTTCCATTCCTCCCTTGACCCTTCCTGCCTCTCCAGGCTCTCCCTGGCCGCTGACTCCTTCCTTGCTGCTTTGCAAAGTGCCTGGCTCCCCCACAGCTCGAAAAACTGTCTCCCCTGAGCCTTGCCATCCCCTTGAAGCCCCCCAGTCCTCTGTTCTCCTCCACCCTCCACTCCGTGGCCTCTGCCTGTGTCTCTTCAGCTAAGTCCTGACCCGGCCACACCATGAACGCTGCTCTCTCCATCCACCTGACCGTTGAGCGGTAAACCCTGAGGTCTCCCCGTTCTCCTCCTGCTCTACCCCTTGCAGTACTGATGGGGCTGCATAACCTTGCTTGGGAGGCCTGTCCTCTGTGGGTGTTCCCTCTCCAGGTCCTTGTCCAGGACCCTTGCTCCTAAACCTGGGAATTCCTCCTTGTTCCTGACCCTTAACCTTCATCTCTTCTTCCCCCAAATGTTCTCGGTTCCATGCTTGATTTCAACACTCAGATTTGCTCAGACTACTTCTAAGTGTACAATCCTATTAGCCAGAACTCAGCATTTCTGCTCTCCTGCCTCCCTCCTTCCTTCCATCCTTACCCCCCCCCCTCCTTCCCTTCAGTGTTTGCGATGCACAAGGACTGTGTTAAATCCTAAGGTGGAAAAATAAACATCCAATTGTCTGTTCTTCCAATATCTCAAAGTCTACTGAGGCGAGACTAAATACAAATAAGCAACTGCAGTGGAAAGTGGAAGATGCTACAGTTTACAAAGTGCTGGGTAGATGCAAGGCCTAACACTGGTACGTGGCAGGTGAGGTGCTGTCTGGGTTGGGACCTGGAGAAGGAACCTTTCCGGCTGAGCAGAGGGGCAAGGAAAGGCCTTCCAGGTGGAGGGGGCAGAAGGAAGAGCTGTGGGCAGGCCGGCCATGAGGGGCTGAAGGATCAGGCACAGCCCGACGGAGAAGGGTCTTCTCGGCCTTTTTCCTGTCCATAATGGGGGTCACGGGGTTTGAACCAAGGGCATGCTCTGGAGGCTGTGTGGAGGGGAAGTATGACTGGGAAGGGAAGGGAGGCTGGGAGGTGAGGAGGGAGGCTGTGGCCACAGTCCAGGAGGTGATGAGGGATGGGACACCCTGTTCGAGAATCATCCCTGTTTGCCCATGAAGGGTCTGCCCAGATGCTGCCTCCTCCATGAAGCCTGCTCTGGTCAGCCTAGCTGAACATGCTCTCCCTTTCGTAATCCTTCCGTGACTCTCTTAAGAGATTTGCCCCACTGCTTGGTGCTGGTTCACTGTCTACTTCACTGATCCATGCTTTTGGTCATTAGAACTTACTTAACAGACGCACTCCAGAGACTACACACCATGTAGTGTTCTAATATTAGCTCATTTACGATGTTCTTTTAGGTTTTATCTCTTGTCCAGAGAACCCAGTGACTGTCGGGCACCCAGAGGTAGTTCCACGTTTTCTAGCAAGTCTGCATTTCTCATCCCTTAACCTCAATCCCTCATTCCAGGGAGTTCTCATGGTCTTTCTGGACTTTAACTGTTTCCTTTAACAGGTTTCTTTCCACTTCTCCTTCGATCTTCTCCTCACGCTCAGTGACGGTCGTCCCTTTGCTTTCTCCTGAACGGAGTGAGATGTCTGGTGGTGCCGTCCTCCCTGCTGTGCCCTGCTTGTGCCTGTCAGGAGCCCTCGCCACAGCACGGGCCGACCCGAGAGAGGACTTCACTATGGGTTCAAACTCATGACCTCAGTCAACAAAATATGCTGAATAGTTCTGTCAAGACTAAGTGTGCACAGAGAAAATTTCCATCCCAAGTTTTAAACTGGAGGCCGAGTGGCACCTCCAAGTGCTCTGGCTGGCTCTCCAGCCCCTCAGGTCTGTGTGAGGCCACGGACACACGTGTCACTCTCATCACAAGGGCACAAGACAGCTCTGACGAATTCCTAGACCCCATCTGAGCCAAAAAGAGTATTTAAAAAGTCACTGGAGAAGGTTCTGTGGAACAGGGGCTCAAGGCTGGCATCTCCCTGGACCAGGGGCACATCGTGTTCTCCCGTCCAGTGTGCTCATGGGAACGGCGGTCTTGGAGACAATGCAACCAGGTCCGGCTTGGCAAGAGGTGGTTTTTTCTCCCTGAGAGCATGCTGGCAGATTTGTCCCAAGCAGCGAAGGGGCGCTGGCCTCTGCTCTGCCTGTCGGGGGCAGCCACGTTTCTGGCTGTACTCCATAAGAGTGAGCACATGCATCCGGGGCTCAGGGGCAGACGCATGGGGGTGAGCAAGCACCGCACCTGTGCCAGGCCCGGCCAGCGTGGGATCAAGCGACCTACAACTGCAATGTCACCAAACCTGGGCCGGGCATATGGCCAAGATCTTTCACCATTTCTCTTTTTTGGTTCCTGCTTCTTTTGGAAGTAGGTGACCTTTCCTTGTATCCTGTGCTCTCTCCTTGCCCACTTTCTTCCTTGTCAGGAATGCAAAGAAGCCTCTAGACCCTTTCACAGGATGGTCCAGGGCCAGCCTCATGGGTGGAGGGCACAGGAGGGGTGGGGCACATTCCAGACACCGGGAAGGAGGGAGAAAAGCCACTAAGCATCCTACCATCCTACCATGGTTCAGAGAGGCCTGCGATTCCACCTGGAGCCTCGTGTAACCCACAGTCAGGGTCTGTCCCAGGTCAGCCCAGACAGAGCAGTGGGCTGAGACTGCATTCTGCTCTGGGGCAGAAGGCCCAGGTGGCCACTCTGGTCTGCACCCCCATTCCCTGCACTTGGCACCGCAGCGGGGGCACGGGTTGGGGAGGGTCCATGTGCCATATTCCACAAGGAAAGGGAGGAGGAGGGAATGAAGACACATGTAATGTGCGGGATAAGGCAGGTTTCAGATGCCAAAAACTTCCCACAGCATGCTGTAGCTCTACAGCATGAATATTCAGGGTCAAAGTTCAACCATAAAATACCTTCTGAGATTAAACATGTTCAAAATGTCATTAATCCCAGGATAATATAGATGTGGCAGCAGATTAAAAGGAGCTGAAAACACTCCTTTGTTTTCTTCTTTCTGCCTCAACACACAGACAACCTTAATCTTCTGGGGATTTGGCTAAAGGGCTCTGACATCTCAATTTCTCCTCCCCAAATGACAACAGGTTTTGCAAACTGTCAAGTATGCCCGGGTTTGCAATGAACAGCCCAGGAACGTTTCTCACGCACAGGAAACCACCAATTCATGTCCGTATCTGTGTGATCTCCTTGACTGAGAGCCTGAAAGAGACGGACTCCCCCAAACACATCTCGCCTGGAATGAAAGGCAGCAAACTTGACCTGTTGTACAGCATATGTAGAGTAAAATTTCTGGAAGACGGAATGCTCTAGATGCAGGAAGCTGTGACAGCCACAAAGCTTGCCCTAAATAACTTAATTTCATAGGAGGGCAACTTTTGGTAGGGGAAAATAACTTTTGTTGTTGTTGTTATTTTGAGGATATGATTCTGTCAAAGAGGGAGGCTATGAGGAGTTTATACATTAGTTTTTCTCCAGATTCCTTCTTCTTAACATGCTTTCCCACCTCAAGGGTTTAATTTGAAAAGTATATTTATTGTTCAAGCATTCATTTCCAAGAGCTCTCGTTCTTGAGGGTTAGTTCAGTAGGCTGTGGTAATGAGGACTGCTTCCTCCCTGGGGCCAGGAAACAGAGCAGCTACTGATGTGGCCGTGGGGCCTCCATGTCTAGGAAGAAGGCCTCAGGCTAGCAAGGTGC